CCATCTCTGACGCTCATCTTCACCACCTTCACACACCTCAAAAACATCACAAACACGCTCTATTCCACCGACACGTAAAACACGTCCTCGTCACACCCACTCAACCTTATCCGAAACGCTCTCAAACATCTCTGCCATATTTTTCATCCCGTCACGCTCAAACCCACACCCAACCCTCGCCCCATCATTTATATTACGCCTCCGTCAAAAATGACACGAAAATACCCAAAAAAAATCGATTTTATGGCTCATTTCCCACGGTTATTTCCCAATGTAACTCTCTTCTTTCGCCGGCAGATTGCTGCCTTTGCGCCATCTGATTCCGCAACGGACCTCTCTCTAAGTCCTTTGCTCCTAGAGACGGTAATTTTATAGAGAAAACACACTTGAGTCATTCCGCTATGGGACGCTGTGGCGTTAGGTTTGACTTGTCGGTCACCGGTATTTCCCGCCCTCCTCTCTTTTCAAACCCCACCTTCCGCACGGCTGTCGCGATGGTGAATGCAGGGGTTCAGATACGCATCTTATCCGTCTGAGCGTATGAATGTATGATTATCTTGGTCCTGTTGTCTGTGTCGCTGTATGCCTGTATGTTTGTCTCTTCGTCAATTCTTTCAGTGACCTAGGTCTTAGTGCTCGGACTGTGCTACGCTCGCTAGCTGGCCACCAAGGAAACGGTGAGTTTACTGGCCGTGAAATTCCTAGGTTATCTCTGGGCTCGCTCAGTTCTCTCGCGGTGTGGGTTCCCTATCACGGGAGGAAGTGTTCTATCTCAATAATCTGTGGCAACTGTCTGAATCCAAGTAACTCGATCGGTTAATCTTCAGCAGTACACAGAAGGAATAGGTAGGAGAGTTTGAGTCTGCAGGGATCGTCCCGTCGTGAATATGTTCGTGATCACCCATTTCACCCCCCATCTTAGACGTTGCGGGCTCAAAATAACGACAATAACATGCTCAGTCAACAACTATCAAGACTTGAACAACAACGGTTCACAAAACGTTCATGGCAGGGATAAACATGTCGGTGAGTTTCCGCTTCCAATAGTTCA